GTTCTCCCTCCAGAGACTCAAGAGGTAAGGTCCTATAGGTCAGGGGTTTTTACTGACCCACCAGTAACCAAGAGGGACCAAGGCAGTATCGGGCTATCAACAATGTTTCTGACACTGTGGATCAGCACTGGACTGTGAACCACAACAACTATGATATATATGATATGTAATATTGTATTCAATATGTAATTATATATATGTGTGTGTGTGTGTTGTTGTTGTTGTTGTTAAGTTCTGTCAAATCAGTTCCAACTTATAGCAACCCTGTTTAGGATTTCTGAGGAGCAACTGGTGAGTTTGAACCACGGACCTTGTTGTTCTAACCAACATTGGGTCTAATGCTTATTTTACAATGCCACACCAGGACTCCAATTATATATATGATATGTAATAATATGCCAGAAAATGCACTCTCATCAAGTCGATTCAACTCATAGGGTTTCTAGGACTGAAAATCTTCAGATACTTTCATCTTTATGCCATAGAGCGGCTAGTGAGTTTTTACTGGCAACCTTGTGATTAGCAGCCCAACACGTTCTCTGCAACACCACCAGAGTTACACACACACACACACACACACATATATAAGAGGGGACTCAAAATATTCATGGAAAGATGGACTTAAAAGATAATGGAATTTATCCACAAATGTTTTGAATCTCATGTCTGTACGGTGGTGGTGAATGGTTATGTGCTACTGAGTCAGTTCAGATTCATAGTGACCCTGCATAGTATTTCTGAGGTTGTAAATCTTTATGAGAGCAGAAAATCTCATGGTTCTCCTGAGAAACATCTGGTAATTTTGAATTGCTGACCTTGAGGTTAGCAGCCCAATTCGTAATCACTACTCTACCAGAGCTCCTTCATGTATGCATATGTATAACAGCTTTGTAGTCTGGCACATTAACCCACAACACCACACCAGCAACCCCATGTATAGATGCAGAGTCTTGTTGTAGTGCTGCATGCTAATGAGCTGGACTGTGAGATCAATTTGAACAGCATGGTCAGCGGCTCAAGCCTAACAGCCACTCCTTGGAAACCCTATACAGGGTCACTATGAGTTGGAACTGATTCACTGGCACTTATATATACATATGACGGTGTGTTTGAACCTCTTATCTTGTGGTTGGCAGTTCAGTGCTTATCCTACAGTTCTACATCCGAACACCTTACATATACATGAATTCCTCTAAGCATTTCTCCTTTCAAGTAAACACAATGTTAAACTCCCTCAACAGAGGGCGCTGGAGGGGCATTGAAGGAGGAAGAGGTTTTCTTCAGTGTTCAGCGCAAGGAGGGCTGTTGTTCAGTGAGAGTTTGAGGACATCCGGTGGAGCCTACCATAGCACAGGCCCAGGATGAGACCTCTCTGCCACTTTGCAGCCTCTGCATGAGAGTAGCTTTTTCACAGCCCTTTCAACCCTAAAATCAAATCCTCTAAATGGCTAGCACTGCACAGATCTACCTGGGGGCTATACACACAGATGCAGCTCCCTTTTCAAGTCTCCTTGCTGCCAGGGTATCCTGAGGACCTTCTACCTGTACTTCCACTTCACACTCAAGCCATCTTGTGGTGTTGATGTTGCCCCCAACATCTGCACGGGGGGCAGCTTCCCAACTCCACACCACGTCGGTTTGGCTAAATCAGAAAGATTCTCTTCTATCTCGTGGTTGAACCACACCATTTTCAATGAGGTTTGAATCCCTTCCAAGTTTGTCCTTTTTTTTTTGGGTGGGGGGTACTCTTCCTCAACCTTTTTCTTATATCATATAGTTCCTGCTTTACTATAGTCAATGATTCTTATATTAAATTTCCTCTGTTTAACAACCAGTATGGTTTCTGTCTCCTGAATTAATCCACTACTTCAGCTGCATAATACAGGTTCTAATATCGGTTCTATAGTTTACTAATTATGATACCTGGAACATATTACTTAAACTCGCTGTACCTTAGATTCTTTATCTGTAAAATGAAGCCAGGGGTAGTACTCTTGTGTAGAATCCTATGACGGCAACATTAGCTAAAGCATGTTAAATTCCTAGCAGAGTGCTGATACAGAGTTGGCAAGCATTGCTAGATTGGGCAGATTTGAAAGACAACAACAGAGAAAGATGAATGTGGTGACCGTTCAGTGCTAGAAACCTCACCTTTGATGTGCAAGATAGGGCTCTCTCTATTCCTGGCCAATCAGCCTCATGCACAACCAAGAAATGTCTGTCAGTGCAAGCTTGTGTGCTACTACTATGACGCTGAACAAATTTCAGTGAAGTTTCCAGACTAAAATGGACTAGGAAGAAAGTTCTGGTAATCTACTTCTGATCATTGGTATTGTTAAGTACTGTCAAGTCAGTTCTGACTCATAGCAACCCTGTATAGGATTTCTGAGGAATGGCTGGTGAGTTTGAACCTCCAACTTTCAGTTCAAACCGACCTTTTGGTCCAGTGCTTTATCCTACAGCACCACACCAGGCCTCCATTTTCGTCAACGGAAATCCTATAGATCACAGTGGTGATTATAGTACAGGACTGGACAGCATTTCATCCCATGTGCATGGCTTTCCCATGAGTCAAGCACCAACTCCACGGCAACTAACAACAACAAAGAAATGACAGAGAAAGGTTCAGAGAAGGAAAATAAACCAGACAGAACAAGAGGCAGAGAGAAATATGAGCATCAATATACCAAGAGAAATGCAAAAGAGACCAATAGGCAGTGATCCTTTAATGCATTAAAAATAACATACATGTCTACAGTACTGTAGAGTTCTGCTATGGTGCTGCAGGATAAATACTGGACTCTCAACCATAATGTCATACGTATCAGTAGTTCAAACTCACTAGATGTTACTTGGAAACCCTATACAGAGTGGCTCTGAGTCTGAATTGACTTGACAGCACTTAACAACAGTACTGTATAATGTAGAAACAATTTTCTAAAAGGATCTCAATCTTCAGAATAAGCACAGTAACTATGTAGGATAAGCACCAGACTGCGAACCACAAGGTTTGTGGTTGGAGCCCTCTAGCCACTTCGAGGGAGAAAGATGAGGCTTTCTGTTCTCGCAAAGAAACAGGGTCACTATGAGTCGGGAATTGACTCAATGACACTTAACAACAACAGCTAACTCAAAGGTGGCAGTTTGAGCCCACCCAGATGTACATCAGAACAACGGCCTGGTGATCTACTGTCATTAAAATTATAGCCAAGAAAACACAGTAGAGCAATTCTACTCTCTAACATTGGGGTCACCATAGTCAGGATCTGCTTAATAACAATGGGTTGATGCTTTTGTTGCTAAGATGTGGGTCAAAGCCACACTGCTAGATAGTTAATGCAAGGAACTCAACTGGCCCCAAATCCCATAGTCTTTACACGATGCCCTCTTGTGGTCTGGTATATATCTACAATTGACACTTTTCACTTCACCTTGTATATTGGTGGGGAAGGGGAGGGTGTGAGCAAGGAATCTGGAGTGCTTAGCATTTGCAAGTGTTGCTCTGAGTGCTTCACTTACGTCAACTCTGCCCCCCAGAATAGACTACACCACTGAGCGGTGTTCAGCATGATTCAAAGAACAAATAACTCTGTTTGTAATTATTGTCCCAACTATTTCAGTGTTTTTCATTGTGTATTGTATTATAAATGGAGTACTGTAGGACAAGCACTGGACTGTTAACCAAAAACTCAGTGGTTCAACTCTACCAGCTGCTCCTCGGAAACCCTGTAGAGGGTCACTATGAGTTGGTTCTGACTCATAACGACCCTGTATGGGGTTTCTGAGGAGCGGCTGGTGCATTTGAACTGCCGATCTTGTGGTCCGGTGCTTATCCTTACAGCCTTGCACCACGTATGGAGAATTCACTGATAATAAAAGTGCATGTATTATTTACAGATGTTATTTTTGTTATAAGTGCCTTCGTCAAGTCAGTTCTGACTCATAGAGATTCTGTATAGGGTTTCAGAGGAGGCTGGTGAGTTTGAACTGCCAATCTTGCAGTTCAAACCGACCTTGAGGTCGAGTGCTTATACCATGGTGCCACACCAAGACTTAGTGTTTCATAAATATTGAGTAAAGTTTCAAGTATATGTGGATATTGAAATATAAGATAAATTGCTTTGATGAGTTACTTTTCATCCAGTAGATAACATTCAACATGCCAAGAATTAAACAAAAGTTCTATAAGTGAATTAATTAGTGCCCAGATGAAAGGTCATGTGCCTGGCGCTGTTCAATGAAAGGTGGGCAGATCTAACCCATCAGTGGCTTTGTGGGAGAAAGATGTGGTCATCTGTTTCCTTAGCCTCAGAAACCCTATGGGCAATTTTACTCTGTCATATAGCGTTGCTCCCAGTCAGATAGTTTTGGTTTTGGGTTTGGCCCTGGGTTCAGATAACTTATCAAGTTTCCTGGCTTTCTCTGCATGGACATGCTATGTTCTTAAATGCAGGCTGTATGCTAAGAATTAAAAGCTGTGAATGCCTTTAATATTCCAGTGATCCATTGTTCATAGCATTTGTGAAGAAAAATATACCTTAATGCAAAAATTTTTTCTTCAATTCTTTCAGTTTGAGAAATGCTATACTTCCATTTTGCTTTTTTTCTAATTGCAGATCTTTCCACATTTTATTTTAATACTTGATTTTGTGTTCTTGAGCTGCCATTTTGAATTTTCTTTCCAGTTTTCTTACTTTCTCATTTCTTCCATTTGCTTTTGCTTTTCTACACTCAAGAGGAAGCATCACAGTATTGTCTGGTATCCGTTTAGTCTTTTCTTTCATTCCTGCCTTTTAAATGACCTCTTTCTTTTTGTATGATGTTCTTGATTTCTTCTGGTCTTTGGTCATTAGTGTCTAAAGCATTAAATCTGTTATAGACTTGGTCTCTAAATTCAGGTGGGATATATTCAAGGTCATATTTTAATTCAAATCTACCAGCCACTCCTAAGAAATCCTATATGGGGTCATTGTGAGTCGAACTGCATCTACAGCACTTACCTGCAACAACCATCATGGCCTCTGCATATTGCTGTATTCACCATGCTCTGCACAGCCCCACGAGGCACCATTCACATGATGTTCTATCAGACATTCAAGTCATTTATCTTAAAGTCTTCTTGTCTCTTCAAATGTTATTCCTTATTTTCATTGCTAAGATCAGAAACTATTTAGCACTGTAGCAGACTACTTCTGAATATTTAGCCACTGAAAATCTTGTGAATAGCAATGGTACATTGTCAGATATAGTACCAGAATATGAAACATTATGAATAACATAAAAATATTGTCAGATATAATGCCAGAAGATGAGCCCCTCAGGTTGGAAGGCACTCAAAATGTGATGGGGAAGAGCTGCTTCCACAAAGGAGAATTGACTGGGATGATGCAAATGGAGTAAAGTTTTGGGACTTTAATTTGCTAAAAGGACACAACTCAAAATAAGGAGAAACATCTGTAAACACCCATTAATAATCAGAAAAAGAAACATATGAAGTATGAATTTAGGAAAAATGGAAGTTGTTTAAAATGAAGTTGAATGCATAAAGATTGATATCCTAAGAATTAGTAGGCTGAAATGGACTGTTATTGACCATTTTGAATCTGAAAATCATATGGCTTAATATGCCAGGAATGACAAATTGTGCCACATTCATCATCAAAATGAACATTTCAAGATTTATTTGAAGTACAGTGCTGTCTGTGATAGGATAATATCTATAGGCCTACAAGGAAAACCAGTTAATACCACTATTAATTAAAATTTACACACCAACCACTAAAGTCAGTGATGATGAAATTGAAGAATTTAATGAACTTTTTCAGTCTGAAATTGATCTAACATGCAATCAAGATACATTGATAATTACTGATGATTGAAATGTGAAGGTAGTAAACAAAGAAGAATCAAAACTTGAAAACATGGCCTCGGTGATAGAAACGATGGATTTTATAAAACCAATGATAGGATTTTACAAAACCAATGACTTATTCATTGCAAATAACATTTTAAAAACAACATAAAATATGACTATACACATTGACCTCAATTGATGAAATACACAGAAATCAAATTGACTGGCTTCTCTGGGAAGAGAAGAAATAGTGGAAAAACTCAATATCATGATCCAAACAACTGTCGGGGACCAATTGTAGAACAGACCATTATTGTTCATATGAAAATTCAGGCTGAAGCTGAAGGAAATTAAAACAAATCCATGAGGACAGATCCTACCTGAATTTAGAGTCCTTCTCAAGAGCAGATTGGATGCAATAGACACTAATGACTGATGACCAGAAGAATTGTAGGACAACAAGGACATCATACAGGAAGAAAACAAAAGTTCAATAAGACAGGAAAAAAGTAAAAGACCCAAACAGATGTCAGAAGAAACTTGATTTCTTGCTTGAGATGCTAAAGCAAAAGGAAGAAATGAGATAAAAGAGTTGAAAAGAAAATTTCAAAGGCAGCTTGAAAGGACAAAGCCAAGTATTTTAATGAACTGCTCAAAGACTTAGAGTTAGAAAACCAAAAGGGAAAAACATGCTAAGCATTTCTCAAGCTGAAAGAACTGAATAAAAAATTCAAACCTCAACTTGAAATATTGACAGATTGTATGGGCACTTAATAGCACTAATGAGCACTCTGTACATGGGCCAAGAGGCAGTTGTTCGAACAGAACAGGGGAACACTGAATGGTTTAAAATTAAGAAACGTGTGTGACAGGGTTGTATTCTTTCACCATACTTATTCAACCTGTATGCTGAGCAAATAGTCCGAAAAGCTGGGCTACATGAAGAAAAACGTGGCATCAGGATTGGTGGAAGACTCGTTAACAACCTGCAATATGCAGATGATACAACCTTTTTTGCTGAAAGTAAAGAGGAGGACTTAAAATATTTACTGATGAAGATCAAAGAGCACAGCCTTTGGTATGGGTTGCAACTTAATGTAAAGAAAACAAAAATCCTTACCACTGGACCAATAAACAACATTCTTATCAATGGAGAAAAGATTGAGTTGTCAAAAACTTCATTCTTCTTGGATTAACTATCAACACTCAAGGAAGCAGCAGTCAGGAAATCAAACAACGTATTGCATTAGGCAAATCTGTTGCACAAGACCTTTTAAAGTGTTGAAGAGCAAAGATGTCAGTTTGAGGACTACAGTGTGTCTGACCCAAGCCATGGTATTTTAAATAAACTCATATGCATGCGAAAGCTGGACAGTGAATAAGGAGGACGATAGAAGAATTGATGCTTTTGAGTTATGGTGTTGGAAGAAAATATTGAAAGTGCCATAGGCTTCCAAAAGAACAAACAGTTCTGTTGTGGAAGAAGTGCAGCCAGAGTGTTCCTTGGAGGCCAGGATGGCCAAACTTCATCTCTCATACTTCGGACTTATTGTCAGGAGGAACCATGTTTGATAAGGTGGAGGGTCAGAGAAAAAGAGAAAGACCCCCAGCGAGATGGATTGGCCAAGTGGCAGCATCAATGGGCTCAGATGTGGCAACAATTGTGAGGTTGGCCCAGGACCAGGCAGTGTTTCATTCTGTTGTACATAGGGTCGCTATGAGTTGGTACTGACTTGATGGCACTTAACAACAACAACAACGGGCACTATATTAACAGCTTGTATGGGCACAATATTGAATGATGCAGAAAGCATCAAAAGAAGATGAAAGGAATACACAGAATCAATGTACCAAAATGAAATGGTCTGTTTTCAACCATTTCAAGAGGTAATAGATGATCAAGAGCCAATGGTACTGAAGGAAAAAATGCAAGGAACATTAAAGGCATTGTCAAGGAACAAGGCTCTGGGAATTGATGGAATACAAATTTTAAAATTTTCAATAATCTCATGTGGCACTGGAGGCACTCCCTCATCTATGTCAAAAAATTTGAAGGCAACTACCTGGCCAACCGATTGGAAGAGATCCATATTTGAACCCATTCCGAACAGAGGTGATCCAATGGAATGCAGAAACGATAAGACAATATCATTAATATCAAATGCAGGTAAGGTTTTGCTAAAGATCATTCAAAAATGGCTGCAACAGTACATTAACACAGGACTGCCAGAGGTTCAATCTGTATTTAGACAAGGATTTGGAATGTGGGCTATCATTGCAGAATCAGATGGATCTTGGCTGAAGCAGAGAATACCAGAAAGATTACTATGCAAAGCCTTTGACTGTGTGGATCATGACAAACTATGGATAACATTGCAAAGAATAGATATTCCAGAACATTTAATTGGGCTCATGAAGAGTCTATACATAGTCTTTTGACTGTTGTTTAAACAGAACAAGGGGTAACTGAATGGTTTAAAATCAGAAAAGGTGTGTGTCAGGGCTGTATTCTTTCACCATACTTATTCAATCTGTGTGCTGAGCAAATAATCCAAGAAGCTAGATTATATAAAGAAGAAGGTGGCATCAGGATTGAAGGAAGATTCATTAACAACCTGAGATTTGTAAATGACACAACATTGCTTGCTGAAAGCAAAGAGGATTTAAAAATACTTACTGATGAAGATCAAAGACCACACAGCCTTCAGTATGGGTTGTTGATGAAAACAAAAAGTCTCACAACTGGGCCAGTAAATAACATCTTGATAAATGTAGACAGGATTGAAGTTGTCAAAGACTTCATTTTGCTTCAATCCACTATCAACACTCATGCATGTAGCAATCAAGAAATCAAATGACATAACTGTATTAACCAAATCTCTTGCACAAGACCTGTTTAAGGTGTTCACGAGCAAAGCTGTCAATTTAAGGACTAAGGTGCACCTAAACCAAGCCATGGTATTTTCAGTAGCCTCACGTGCATGTGAAAGCTGGACAATGAATAAGGAAGACTATAGAATAATTGATGCATTTGAGTTATGGTGTTGGAGAAGAGTATTTAAAGTACTACTGACTACCAGAAGAACAAACAAATATGTCTTGGAAGAAGTACAGTCAGAATGCCTCTTAGAAGTCAGGATAACAAGACTTCATCTCTCGCATTTGAGACATTTTATCAGGAGTCCCTGCAGAAGGACATCATTCTTGGTTAAGTGGAGTGTCAGTGAAACAGAGGAAGACCCTTAATGAGATGGATTAATATGGTTGCAGCAGCAAGGGGCTCAAGTGTAGCAACAATTGTGAGGATAGCCTAGGATTAGGCAGTGTTTCATTGTCTTGTGCATAAGTTCCCTATGATTCAGAGCTGACTCAATTGCATCTAACAACAATAAGTGTTTCGTTACTACAGTTAAAATCTGTAGTTTGAGATAGTGGACAAACAGCATTGGACTTGAAAGACAGCGCTCCAAGAACATATTCCAAACCCATGTAATTAGTCTCACGGAATTGACAAGGAAAGGAAGGCAGAAGGGTGGAGAGAAAAACCAAGACCACAAGGTCTCCCATGGGTATTGTGCTAACTGGGCAACTGTGAAGATTCCAAACTGAGTCTTCCTCCTGGGTGAGGAGATGGAGTCAGGAATGCAGTCATGGGAGATTCAAGAAGAGTAATTTTCATGGCTTTTTGAAAGAAGATCTAAGAACTACAGATCTAGGTACTTATGTATGACCTCCTTCCCAGGTATGTATTTGTCCTGAATTAGAAGGCCCTGGAAACAGGATTCTGGGCCTCCGAAACCGTGTTCTTAAGGAACGAGAAGAAACCTCTGTGATGGTGGCAACTCCAGCAGCAGCAAGGGGGCAGGGATTTTTGTCTGTTGGAAACATCTCCCACTCCCCCGATCTGCATCTTTTGCTTTTCACAGACCTCTCAGATGACTCAGACCCTGGGTCTAATTCAGCTGAGATTCTTCATATGGGTAACTTATTCTGGGACTTTGCTTACTGAATCGAGACTTGATGCTAGAGGGATCAACAAACACCAAGAAGCTCGGAGTACCAGTAAAGACACATTTTATTGTTGCACACTGATGGGGAATTTGGAAGTAGAGTTTTCTCCAGCATTCAAGCTTCTTTGGTCTAAGGCACAGAGCAAGGT